GAGCTTAAGTGTGGGGGGGAGGGGGTAGTCTATTATGCATGTGTGTGATGTTTGGTGTGGTTTTGAATGCTTGGAGCCTTGATGTATGCCCGAATTTGAAAATTTTGAGGGCTCCAAGCAATGCTTGTTCAAAATGGCCGGTTTGAGTGAATCTCGTGCTTATTTGGCATCGTTCTTGAATTGTTACATATAGTCGAGTGCATCCTATTAAGATGACTGAGAGTGCATTAGGATTGTGCGAAGGCTTAGTTCTCATGTGTGCTTAAATGAATGGGATGTCTTGACTTGGTCACTCTTCGATTACAATTGCCATGCATCGAGTTTGTGAACGTGGAATAGACGATTGGGCGGCTAGGTAGCCTGTTAGTTTTGAGCCGATCATTTTTTTCTGGTGTGATAATTCCCTCTCACCACGGTTTGTAGCATCACATTTGTCATTAGCGAGGAAGATGGAGGCATAGGATTAGCCCACGACCCAAAAGTTGACCGACCTGATCATATCATTCCTTAGTCAACCCTTTTGAGCTGTGTGTCTAAGGGTCATTCTAATGTTGGGTAGCTCACGCTACTTGGAGATTGGGTGGCCCATGCTAGAGCACCTTTCATTGGCGCCCCGAACAAATCGCTCCACCGTGAGTTCTTATTTGCTCTTTGGCTCCAGTTGTGGAGTGGCACATGGTCTTGAGGTTTGTCCCATGAAAGCCTCCATGCCCAACTCCAACTCGAATTTCTCCTTGGGTTGTTGAGGGAAATATTCTTGGTATGGGAGGCTTCTTGATACCCCCCCCCCATTGGTATGCTTGCTCTTCTTGGAAGGGGGATTGGTAGTAGAACCCGGTTCCTTGGCTTCCCCCTTCTTGTTCACTCCATGAAGCTCCGGGGTACTCCCATTCGGGTGGTTGTGGATACCCCCACCTATTGTAGAAGCCATTGGGATCATTGATTCATAACCTACACAAACAAAAACACAAAAAGAAAATCAAACAAACACAAACCACCCTTTAAGACGAAGAGTGAGTAAACGAAACACAACACGAAAGATAAAACACGAACAAAAAAGGCAAGATAGAAAATGATAGAGTAGCACTAAGCGACCTTTTCAAAATAATGGATCGCGGTTCCCCGGCAACGGCGCCAAAAACTTGACTCGCCCCGATTACCACAATAATTTCCCGCCTAAGGTCCAAGTATAAACCTTAGTCGGGTGTAGTATAGGATAAGTATGTTTAAATATCAACCCGGGCCGGTCCATGTACCCTACTTCAATCGCTTAAGATGTTATCTAGCAAAACGGTTTCAGGTTTTCAAACTAAGAAAACTACAAACTAAACAAGCAAAGAAAAGTATATAAAGGAAAATTCTAATTAAGGGAGCTTCACCCAGGAGTTGCTTCCCCCTAACTAGCAACCAAGACTTGTTGGATTGGAACGATTGCTATGGGCAAGGTGACGCAAACCGCAAAGGGATGCAAATATGGTTGTAGACCACACTCTCGATTGCTAAACCGAGGTATACATTATAGGCAATCGGTGGTTGACTTACTCCCTCACTCAACTCAAGGGTTGGACGGCTTAATCGCGCTTAACCAATTTTTTTAATTCAACATTGAGGTTTGCCCGAAATGAACCTAGTTAGGTGACTTAAAAAGCTAAAGGAAAACCAACTCGATTGAGTCTCTCTTGAAAGGGAAATTTTCCTCTCTAATCTAGGTTAAAGTGGCTAATTAGATTGCTAAGCACCAACATGCACAAACCTAAGGATGCTAAGAACAATCACGCACAATCAACATGAATAATACTTCAATCATTTAATTAAACAATACCCAATGACAATCATTCAATCTAAACAAGTGATTACAAAGTATTAGTTAGGGATCTACAACACCCAAGAGAAAAGAGTGAGTTACTAGAGAGAGAGAGAGAGAGGTATTACAAATTTGAGCTCAAGATCTTCTTCTTCTTCTTCTAGACTTGAATCTCCACCCAAGCCTTCAATGATGCTCCAAGATCACTCTAGCACTCTCTCTCTCACACACTAGAACTCCCCTTTGGTGTTTTTCGGCAAACGCTAGAGAAAGAAACCAATTCTTCTCCAAAAACCAGCTCCCCTTTCTCTCTCCCCGTTGTTGTCTTCATATTTGCCCGAAAGTGACCAGTTCACGGACGCGTTGGCCAGTTCACGACCGTGAACATCTAAACGCGTCCGTGAACTTAGTCGTCTCCAAAACGCACCGCTTCGACAGTAACTTCTGGAACCTCGCTAGACTGCTCGATGTTCACGGTTTGTGGTCCATTTCACGGTCTTAGGAGACCGTGAACTGCCATGTCCGGTCGTGAAATGCGGCGGTTTCCTAGACACCTTCACTTCACTATTATGGGGCAATTGACACAATTGTCACGGTCTTCGGACTTTTCTTCGATTTTTTTTTTTTTGCGCTTTTTGACCTCCAATTATCCCAAAACTCATCCTCGACCCTTCCACACGTGCTAGGACCTGAAATGTATCAAAACAATCACAACCTAGAGTGAAATATGTCGAGGACCAATGAAATACTAAGCTAAACGAATAAGAAATGAGGGGTAAAATGTGTACATTTGGGCCCGAATCAATCGTCACGAGAGAGGGCTTGATCTCAAAGTTGTTGGCGGCCATGGGTGGATGTAAGATGGGAGATTGGATATCCGCCGCCCGTGGAACCATGTAAAATCCCATAGTCCTTGGCCCTTCCTCGGCTTCCGCTTCTCCATTTGGGTTTGGAAGCGGATTAACACCTCAATGTTTATTCCCCGCCATTTCAACTTCAACTTCTCCTTCAATTCCTTCAACTTGGGGACCAACTTGTTGTCCCCCTTTCTTCACTTCTCCTTCTTGCCTCCGATTTCTCCCTCTCTCGAGCTAGAAGTCGGAGAGTCCGGTTGATGTCCTCGTCCAGCGGTGTTAAAGGCGCTGGATTGCTCTGGGTCATGCACCTCCCCACACACTTAGAGAACACAACACGTCTAACACAGGCAAACACTTCACAACCCAACCAAACACAAATTAAAAGTTAGATTAACACCAAACAAACTTTTCACGATAACGGACCGTTGTTCCCCGGCAACGGCGCCAAAAACTTGACTCACTCTGACTATCACAATACAATCCCACCTAAAGAAGAAGATGATAAGATTTTGAGGGATGCTTGGGAGTGCTATTCCAATTTTTTTCCAATGCCCACACCACGGTTTTTATAAGAAATTCCGGATTGAAACCTTCTACAATGGTATTTTCCAAGACCGAACACTCATTGATTCCTTGTGCCAAGTGAATATGCTCAACAAGACTCCATCCCAAATGACTGCATTATTTGAAGAAATGCCACAAAGGGATACGATTGGGGAATGATGAGGCGAGGAAGGAATATTTGAGAGAGGAGAGTGCATTCCACCGAAACAAGTTCTTCACTTGAAGAAAGGATTGATAAGTTTATCATGGTAATTTTGGATGATCGAAAGCAAGGCAAGAGTTCGCTTATGGTGTGTGAATGGTGTTCAAGTCCCAACCATACGGTAGAAGAATGTCAAATCTATTGATAATGTCATTGCTAGTGCTAGGATTTCCACCAATAACAACAATCCATGTAGCAGGTCGCACAATCCGGGGTGGCACAACCATCCAGACTATGCATGGGTAACACCATCTGATCAATAGCCTCAGATTCATGCTATGACGTCATTTTCCTGTCAACCGCAAACTGAGAGAATTTCCAAGCTTGAAAATCTTGTAACCACATTTGTGAGTTCGAGCTCACAGAAGTTTGAGAAGATTGAGAAGTTTATAGAGGAAGCTTCTGAAAATTTTCATCTATTGAATCAGGGTTGCAATGTCACCAATCATCTTTGACGACCTTGTCCATCCGGATGGGAATCATCACTCAAGCTGCCATTTCTCGAAATCGAGTTAAAGAGTCTGAAATGAAAGCTGTGACACATCAGAGTGGAAATGAAGCTAGAGAGGTACCTACCCCTAGAAGGAAAGTAGAGAAGCCAAAACAAGTTGAACAACCTATCACCTTCGAGCACCCGAGGACAACAACCGCATTGTAGAAGGGAGTAGAGTAACTGACTTCTAATCTGAAACATCCAACAAGAGAAGTTGTTCCCCTGCTCCTTTATCCAACTCGGCTCCGCAAGTATCAATAGGAGGCCAAGTTTGCTTGGTTATAGTGGCCAGCTAGCAGAATCGACCTGCCAACTTCTTAAGTAACCTCACCAATTTCCTTTGTACAGGCAGAATATCTTCCGTGCTCCTGGAGATAGGCGATGCAAACTCACTATTTCCTTGCCTAGACCGCCATTTTGAGCTAACGTTGGCAGCCTTAGACCACCATTTTCCTTCGTAAAAATAGTAACTTCTCTCTTTTGCAGAGAACTGTTAGCTTAAACCCGTTGATTTCGCCAATGACCTGCCGACTTTGATAGAGCGTTCAACAGTTATTGATAAACCTGTCTAAACAACGATAATCAATATTGATCCATGTATCATTGAAACAATATAGATTAGAGAAATTTAGACACGTATACATAATACATGATTCAAAATTGATACATGAATCAAAATTGATTCTCGATGTTAGATTAACCGATTGACACATTTCTAAATTTCTCTGATCTATATCTATACATGATACATAGATCAATATTGTTTCTGGATGTTTGTATAGCAAGACTTTCTGTGTGTTTGCCACACAACCACATGGTCTCTGGTTCGAAGCTTTGGTACTCTCTCTCTCTCTCTCTCTCTCTCTCTCCACTCGCTTCCTCCACCTCCAAGCAAGACTTTCTAAACGTCCGAGGGCATGGGCCAAAATTAGAGAATTGAAGCATCAGGTATGCATATAATATATCTTAGGGGATTTCCACGTGTATATGATAGTCTTTGCCGTAAGCTTATATTAGTGGATAAAAACTGAATAAATTGACTAAGCAATATGTCTTGTACAAACCAAAAACTAAAACTTGGTGATTATGAGTTAACTGTTTTGTTGAGAAATTAACATGTCTCGTAAGCCTATTTAAGAAGCGAAACTCACCTTACTAACGGTAACTGGCATTCAAAAATAATCCAACAGAAAATCCCATGAAATTTCCAACTATGTATCAAAATGGGATACAATTTTCTGGTCTCCTGTCAATTTTGCTATGCCTAAAATTATAAAGAGAACCACACATCGACTCCGTTATTTTTTTCACCCAGTAGGCTTCTTTTGCCATAAAAAATAATCCAATAGAAAATCCCATGAATTTCAAACAATGTAGCACAGAGGGTTACAATGTCCTGGTCACCAGTCGTTTTTGCAATGCCTAAAATTTCAAAGAGAATCAACACCTCCACTCCGTTCCCTGTTTTTTGTTGTTGTTCCGGTAGCCTTTTTTAGCCTCCGAAGAGGAATCCAGCAGCTTGTTCTTCATTCCCCCCAAACAGTTTAAGAGCTTGTATCACAGCTTCTCTACCAAAGCCAAGTTCCACGAGTTTCGCTACTTTGGCCTCGAAATCGGGTCCCTGCAAATAAACGATAGATGCTTTCTTAGATGAAAATCATGACTAAGCAATAATCTGACCCAGGAAGAGAGACCGCGAGAGGTTCTTTTCACATTTAATTAACAACCAACTGCCAGTTGATTAGCACACATTAGTACAAGAACATGGAAAGTTACAATGACAATGCAAGGCATTAGAAAAAGGGAGAGAGATTAACAGCAGAGATTTACCTGCATCACATTGCCGCTTGCAGGTCCTGTCAAAAGGCGATAAAAGGGTCAAAATGCTATCCATGGGGATGAACTCAAAAAATATTGGCATTACATTGGCCAAGGTTCAAGAAGGCGCTAGACAAGCGTTGGGGCTCTGCCTAACACCTAGGATGAATAAGCGGTGTCTACGCGGCGCCTATGCGTTCTGGTGAAAATAGCAAATTTTAGTAGCAATAACAATTTTATAACACATTTTTACTTTAGTTCGATTTCAAATGATTAATAACTTATTTAACCCTCAACAACAATTTTATAACACATTTTTACTTTAGGAGTCACCTAGGCATTATGAACGCCTAATTGTCTGCCTAGGGTCTAGGCAAGTTGTTTTGCCACTGTCTAGCGCCTAGGCATAAGAAAAATTATGCCTTCTAGAACCATGCATCGAATCTCAAACAATCAAAGATATGGACCTAATCTGATGTGCTTAAGTTGCTCTAAATGAGAATACAATAGTTAGGGTTGTTGGAAATTGAAAGGAATAAGAAAATTTAGGGTTTTGAGTAGGTTAGATGGAGGAAGAGCTGCCACACCCGTCAGTGATAAGATTTGGGGCTAAGCACCACAACCTGATAAGCCTAAGAAATCACAAAGAAACATCTCTTGCACAGAGAACTCGTTACTGAAATCTGAATACTGAATGCATAAAACTGAATTACAAGCCTTATATTTACATTTTATAGAGAGGCTAACCCAAAAGAAAAGACTTTCTTCTAGACCTAGAAAACTGAAAAGTAATCACTCTGCTACTAGGAAACCAAAACCACTCATATTTAAGAAAATAAATGAAGCAGATATAATAGACTCCTAAACCAACATGGACAACAATATAATAAAAGTAATCTTCTTCAAATCCTTGTTGGGCAGGGATTGTTGAAGGAAATCCCCAATTTTGAAATTCAGTATCTTTGTTAGGAATTGACAACTCTTTGAGAGCGTCTTTGATAACATAAGCAAGTTGTCTAAGTCTAGTCCAAGGAAGTGGACAATCAATGACATTCCTCGGATCAATATTGGGTATAATCTCATCTAGATTTCCATCATAATCCTTAGCTTGATAAATTTGGCCAATCACACAAGTATAATTCCACTTCGTGCAAGTATTTAAGAAAACTAACCAGATGATGATCCTACTACTGGAGCATCACTCTTCTTGTTTGATGCTGCTTGTACAGCCTGAAAACACAAATATCGATATCAATATAAAGAGTACATTATTGTTTGGACTTCTCAAAAAGAAAAGGATATAAGCTCAAGGGAGCTGTAATTCATGACAGTTTGAAAGTTCAGACAGTACAATCTAAATTTGAAGTTGCAAGTAAAGGCACCCGTAGCTCCTTAAATCAGTAAGACACATTGGCCAACAGCAAAACATGTATTTTTAAGACTACTATTCCATATCTATTGTCACTTTAGAAATCACATATTGTTAGAAACTCATGCCACATTTGGGAAACCATGGCATGTGTCAAATTTCCTTGCAGTTAATAAAATGAATACTATAGCAACCTATCACAAAAATGGCGGAAACTTACCAAACCATCAAGAACAACAAGAGAAGTATGCTTACCGGATTTCCAGAGCTAGATGCTTCTTTGGAGTATCTTTCCTCATCCAAGAAACGAGACGGAATGTCTTTCTCTGAAACATTGGTAGTCATGGATACAGTAACCACTAACCAGTGAGCAGCTAAGCATCATAAATAATGAGATTTGTAGCATAAAAGGACAAACAAAAGACTGCATGCAATATCACACAAAGCACAAGTGACATTAATTGCCAAATTACAACAATACCTTGCAAAAATGGTACTGAAACTTCTCCACCACCTACTCTTAGAACATTCTCCTTTAAATCAATAATGCACTGCAGACAAGGGACTAAGTCAGAATTCAGAAAAGATCCAAACTCAGGGGAACTAATGCTTATGCCAAACCATGATGTACCTGGTGCTTGCGGAGCATGTCAAGCCCAAAGAGGAATTCCATGTTGGGAGACTCCAGCACGATGAAGGAGCAAGGATAAAATATATTGCCGATCTACATGAACAGAATTCAGTAACCAGATAAAGTAGAATCCACTATGGACTGAAAAAAGGTAGAGTGCAGCATAGACAAAAGAAGACCTTCACTATGATGATAAAAAAAAGTACCTTGATTGGAGCTACATGTATACGGCCCAGTATCTCTGACTGGCCAACACCATGAGCAATGCCTTTGTAGCGCTGATCTAAAAGCCTCAGCAATCTGTAATAGGCCATTCCAGTAATAATTAAACAAATGGAACATCAAAATTAAATTTGGAATGGGAAGTTGTTTCTCTCATATCATCCAATATAAATCACAATGAGACAGAAGTTATCTTGGAGTACGAAGATTCGTGTTATGAATGCTACTGCATTATGAGAATACATATAAAGGATGCATAACATTCCTTAAAAAATAGAACCATAAAAATTGCGAGATCAGAACCCATAGCAGAAAAAATGGAGGATAACTCTCCCAAAACCTTAACTTACAACTTCCGAGCTTGACCACTACCCTAATAGTTGTTTACCCAATTAAAGTTCATAAAGTTGGTTCCTAAAATGAGAAGCATTAAGCAAAGTGGAACTTTTCAAAATGATAGTGTGTAGACTCATAGAGCTGAAACTGCACTCTTCAAGCTGCAAGTTCAAAGACTTCACTATATAGGAAGACATGTGATGCTTTAATTCACAAAATCATCAATGATTGACGCCATTGGCGTCGTCTTTCCACCCAAAAGAAAATCATCAATGACAACAGCACGTACCCACATTTCTCAGCACAGCTTTTCGATATTATTGTTGATTGAGCGCCACTATCAACAAATGCCTACAATTAAAGACATTAAATGCACAAAGATCCAGCGTCCAGCATAATGAACATACTAATTATACAAGAAAAACATATGAAAAAATCATACTGGAAAGTTTTCATTTAGTCACTTAATTATTGCTCATAATAAACTAGTTAAATGAGGTAATAACTTAGCACACAAGCTACAAGTGAGTAGGAATAATAGGAGGATGAATAGAACATATATTCTAACAACAGTTGTAACTTAAAACCTCTACCTTCAGTGGAACCCCATTGACCTCCATATCCACATAAAGCATAACCTGAAGCATACAGAGAGCAGCCAAATCAAAACATACCATATGAATAGCAATTGTGAATGAGATTGAAGAGCATACTTACCACCCGAGCAAAAGCTTCAGGATTGTACTCCAGCGCTGCTGCCCAATTTTCATCAATACCTTTCTGCGGTGTTTATTGGAATGAACAAGAAAGATAGTTATCTCGACCACGCAAGATTTGTGGCATGCACATTAATAGAAGTAAACAATATACCATAGTGTGTTTATTGAACCAGTCTAATCTAAGACTTCTCAATTGAAAAGGTTAAGCTGGAAGAGAGATTGCAGCTCAGGTGTAGGAGAACCTGGGACCAAATGTGCACTACCAAAGCAGTATGAATGCATCTAGAATGCACAATAAACTTATGAGCACCAATCCCATACAGATTGACAATAACAATCTATGAGCCTGTTATTCCAATGAAGCAAGAAACTGTGTCTGCTCGCTTGACCATCACACTTAAATCGAAAAAACTGACCTGTCGAATGGCAGCTTCAATTTTCTTTTGAGCCTCAACATCAAAAGGATCAGCCTCGAGCAGAGCCTGATTGAACAACAGGAGAAATAAAAGAATATCGGCTCCTAATTCGTTCTAACTGGAAAGAATAAAAGAACGAGTTAGCTAATGACTGCATCAGAAGTCTTCTTGCTTTGACCTATATATCTAATCTATGTTTGTTTCGACCAGTAGGAGACCAATAGCATAACTTGCCCACACATGCAAATAGTACAATTTGGATTACGTATGATTAGAGAATTGGTAAATTAGCTTTTTGTGTGAGAGAAAAAAAGTCAAATCTGGTGGATGATTGTAAAATAACTCAAACGAACCCCATAAGCTTTTCAAGTTTTTTTTCCGAGGAAAATAAGATTGGAAAAGCAGATAAATTGAAAACTAAGAAGTAAAGCGTGGTCCGGAGCAATTTAAAGTAACATTGAAAATGTAAAAGTTGTATGCCGTGGAAGTGTATTTGATTGGAGATGTTGGATGTTCCATAGGAGGCTACATGTTTCTACCCACTGAAACGAATGGAGTCTTTATCTATATCTATATAGTATCATTTATAATAAGACCCATGACTCAAACCTGTGGTCGGTTGGAAATTTAATCCACCTTTTGCCACTAACTTTTTTTTATGAATCTTTTGCCACTAACTTAGCCCTTAGGCTTTAGACACCAACCTACTTCGACATTGAATAATGGGAGTAATAATAAAGAACAACAGTGAACGAACAAGGGATTGGTCTAGTGGTAATACCACTAGCCATGAACCTGGAGGTCTCAGATTCAAGTCCCTTAAGTAGTACCTAATAATAAAAAATTAACCTATATCACCCTTATCTAAAAATAAAAAAAAATAAAGAACAACAGTGAAGTGAGTTCAATAACTTCAAGCAAATAACATCACATTGAAAAAATGCTGCAGCTACACAGCAGTTACTCACAAGTTCAGCCTCTCGCTGGAGGTGTAACTCAGATCTTTGCCTCTGGCGTAGTTTCAACAGCTCTTGCAGTCTGTTGAGATCATTTCCAAGAACGAGTTGTGCAAGTTCAGGGTCAGCCTGGACATAATATAAAAAAAAAAAAAAAACAAAGCAGCAACATAAGGTAACCAAATAAGAGAAGTAGCAGCATAAGAAGCCTTGGGTAAAAGCATATTTTACACTCCCTACTACAGAGGTTCATGAAACCCAGTAGTAAAGAAAAAGTCACCAATCAACAGCGTAACTGGACTACATCCAAAAGTACGACTACAAAATAAGGAAAACTTATACAATACAAGTTCAGATAGTCAATTCCATAGCTCCAAAGAAGAGGATATGAAAGGAGGGGATAACGTGCAGAAAGGATCTCAAAGCTTCCAACTCTAATAGAATCCTCAAATGGGAATCTAATGGTCATCTATGCATGGGCTCCAAAGGAAAGAGCTAATCAAAGACAATAAGGAATCATTAGTTACCTGAAACAGTTGGGACATCAGATTGGGATCACGACGAACATGTTCTTGAAATGCTGCAGCGTTCTCTGAAGGGTCATTGGAACGGGAGCCCATCACATGTGAACCGGGGCTGAAAAATAAACTTGTATCACATATATAGACAGACATATATAGTACTAAATAACACAAGGAATTGACTATAACAAAAAATGCCTCCTGCAAGCATGCAGAGATCAATTCAAAGTGGGGAAAATAGTTCTCACAAATGATATAAATAAACTTTTGCAAAGAGGTGGCATAAAACACAGAGAGAATGATGTGGCAAGCACCAGACAACAAATATAACCAATGATGAGAGACCTGGTGTCCGAATAAAACGTCACAGAGTACGAGACAGGAAAAAGGTTGAACGTAGAGAACATAGCCCGAGCAAGAGATCTCCAACAGAAAACAAAAACAGGTATATGCATTCTTTGACAATTACACCAAGCTGGTTTCAGAAAAATCATTCGGCAGAGTGAATGGCTCCTGGACAGAGCCAATAATATATGCTTCAGTGCACTTCAAGCTTTAGAATTTATAATATTCTGACTGCCAGTCCTAACACATGGATATTGAGCAATACTGTAACCAAGCCAAGAAGTCTTAACTACAAACAGCATCCGGCTAGAAGCCAGTTAATCCAGAAGTGATCGGTATTCCAGACAACAACTGGATGAACTTAAAGGCAACTCCATCAGCTGTGTTAATTAACAAGCAACTAATGAATCAACAATACCTTTGTCCCTTGGAAACCATCATTATCAAATCATCATCTTTAACGCCCAGAACGCTCAATTTCTCATCATTCCTGATCTCTCTGCCATTGTATAACAATTGTTGTTGCTGAAGGGGCACCTGAGTCTGTCCATAGATGAGAATAATGATCAGGAAAAGGAGATAGGAGACACCATTAAGAAGATATCTAATAATTTCAAAAGAAACTACATTAAAAAGCCAATCGGAGCTCCTACGGTGCTCAAGTTTTCTTGTTTTTCGGTTTCTAAGAAACATGAATGAAAACATCAGTAGCTTATTGTGGAAAAACAAAGTGCACTGAATTCTGAAGCTCTTGTCATTCCCTGCTTGCAGGGAAACATAGAGGAACACAAGTCAGCAGCATAGTAGTAAAAGGAGAAAATAAACATCCCCACCTCCACTTCCAGCAATGCTTTAATGTTCTCAACCTACAACCAGTCGAAAAAGAAGAAAAGATTCAGAATGAATACCAAAAAAAAATCTAAAGACAACTAAGATGTAAAAGTACAAACAATGAGAAACAAGAAAGCTCGGGGGAACAGGGTAATTACAGTTTCATTGGGATCGACATCCAAAGAACTGATTTGCTCATCAGAAGTCATTACAGTGATCCGCATGGTTGCAACAGGCCAAGAAGCACCTAGCAGAACAAATTCAATGTTTCAAAATATTCAGAAAGCACTTAACTTCAAGAAAAGAAGAGCAGCATCATTCCATCCATGCCCAGCAATGCAATTGAGTACTGGAGCTCATACTAAGAGGGATACAGATTAAGGGGTTAAAATTTTTTAGGGTAAGCATGAGAGCTCACGCCGCATGTACTCCAAATTTCGCATCAATCATTTCAACCCATTTCTATTGTCTTTCATAAGCAAGTCCGAACATAAGGTCAAATACTATAACCCCTTCCATAAGGAAACACTCTTCCCAAGTCAACTTACCAGCAGAAGGGGGGGAAAGAAAACTCAAAAAGGTTTTGATAATAAGATATCACTGACCAACCCAAGAAATAACAAAATCGAAATCTTGCTTTAGTTCGGCGACACTCCACTTACGATTCTCGAAACCTGAACCCGGTAACTCGAACGATTGGAAAACCGGACGCCGATTTAAGTTCTCGATGAAGTCCAAGTTTCTTTAGACTTCCTCCCCTTTTCTTCAGCCCGGAAGCTCTCTAACTGTAGAACTCGAATCGTAGGAATTATCTCCTTGAAGTCTCCTCCAAACCCTGTCTTTCTTTCTATCTCATGATATTAGAGGCAATGGGTAGGGTTGGCTCAAATCGAAACTCAATTCAACGGGTATAGTTGTAACATCCTAGTCCCGTCGACCACTATTTCAAGTCAGAAGATCTGATAAATATTTAATTTTTTTCATTTTTTAGTTTTGGTTTAACTAAAGTATTAGATGATTTTTTTAATTTATAATAATTTAAAATTAGGAAATGTGTGGAAATTGTGAATTATTTTAAATATTTTATGTTGACTTGGCAGTGACATGACGCGTTGACTAACGGTCAACGCATTTGACAGTCCAAGTTAACGATCAAACATCGGGTTTGGCCAAATTGTTTACTTTGGTGTATAGTTCGGGCCAGGATGTTATAGATCGAAAAGATTGGTCAGGATGTTTATTTTGGTCAAAGTTCAGGCCATAAGAAAATATTAACCCAATTACATAAGTGCAGGTAGTTCACTTGGAAGCTTCGGCAATCACTAACCCTTGTGATGATGGCATCTCGAGCAACAACTTTTATCTTAGCAGGTGGTCTGAATACTCTTACTTGCTTGCAGCTCTTGAATGTAGGCGTTGGGGTCAGTCCTAATCCTATATTCCATTCTTTACATAATATAAAACAATCCAACATGTATAATGAGTGCAATTGCTATGCAATGACTTAGTACGTTAGTAGGAGTACATTATTAGAAGTTCTTGAACTTATAATTCTTCTTCACTAACTAGATATATTGCATCTTTTATCTTATGACGGGCCCCTACCTCGACTTAGCTGGCGCCACTACTTGCTTGCTTACTTAGCATGAGTTATGACCACCGTGTTACATATCGTCATCCGGTGTCAAAACTGAGGTGTGCCAATCACGTTACGTATTGTCGTCCGGTTGCATACATAAACATGGGCAATGGCAACTGTGTTACGTATCGTCGTCCTGTTCCATGTCTGATCAACTACTGCGCTACGTATCGTCATCCAGTAGTAATGCATCGTGAAAAGTGGCTAACTAAGCGAGGGTTAATTGTCCTTACTTGCTTAACAAGATACCTTAAACATGCTTGTCTGAATTAATCTCTCTCCGAAGGAGAAATGTAATTAAGTCATACTTGCTTACATACTTGAAAAGCTTGGGGATCTCCCACACATGGGAAAATCCAACTTAATAACTTTGGTTTGGTCATAAGCATGATACTATGCATAATGAACATAATTCTTAAACTTGAGCATGATTTCACAAACTTCAACATGTATCACATAAACATATAACCCAATAATAAATAGCATATAAGAGCATATCATATAACTCAAGTAGCATGCTTCATAAACAATTCAGAATGGAATACTAACTAGCCCCCTCAAACCACGCACCTTATTTGGTCGGGCAGTTAAACTTGATCTAGCCACCAACTCAAAGTATCGGTGCTATATAGAAGATGATTTGCCTTGTCAACCTATGGCGAACACTGAGATTAGATCGGTTGGGTTTCGCATACTTAGCGACGACTTTCTCAATTTGGGACTACTTTGCATGTATGTAAAAGTTGCAGCTCATTTAGCGATAATCAAACTCTGCGACTGAAAGAAATAGCAGTCCGTCCCTAGAAGTCTACCATAGCTTCTATTGGCAGACTTTCAGTGACGAAGAGAACCCGTTGCTAAAAGCCTGAAAATTCGTCGCTAAGACCCAGAATTGTACGAACTTGTATTATTCACATAAATATCGATTTTAACTCTAGGGATTGGGTCTCCTCGCTTTGTAGTCGTGTCTAGAGCTTGATTCGAGTCACTAGAGCCTCTATTCCTTGATGGTCACCCCGTACTGTTGCCGCCAAAGCCACGACAAAAAACAACCATGGTTTAGTTAACTACATAGCTTTGAATCTTGAAGAGGGTTGGAGGTTCATCAATCTTCTTTATGGTGATATGCTATAGTTGGGAAAGCATGGATCATTTTTTTTCCTTTTAGTTTAGGTGTGAGAGAATTGTTTTTTCTTCTTCTTTTAGTGTCAGACAAAAAAAAAGTGTAAAAGAGTGTTTTTTAGACAATACATCTGTATAGCCAAAACTTTCGCGTTTGTAACAATAATAGCCAATTTTGGATGAATACCACTTATAGGCAGATTTTGTAGTTATTGTGTGACAAATATAGCCATTTCCGTTAGATACTTTAACGCTGTTATTCACATCGTCAAGTAGGGATGGCAATGGGTCGGGTTTTTCCAAACCCAAAACCCATGGGTTTATCCGTGAAAAAAACCCATGGTAAAACCCACGGGGTTTGAAAAACTCAAATCCAATCCAATCCGCTGGTTCATGGGTACCCATGGGTTTTTGTCGTAAAAATTTTACAATAACAAGTTCCTATCAAAATAAAAGTCAAATATCAATCTCTCAATACAAACTATCCACATATAAAACACCATTCTAGAAAATTCAAGCAAATCACAAATTAAGCATACAAATTGTTCAACACCAATCTAGAAAACTCAAGAAAATTGAAGCAAATCACAATTTATCCATAAACAACATGATTAATTGAAAGCTTCTTACTCCTTGTCAATTAAGTTTCTTCACTCTCCACTCGATAATATCGACTGCATTCTACACAATTAGAAGAAAAAATTAGATATGTCTCCACAAACATAAAGAAGATTAGTTTCTTAGAATGTTAAATATACCGGAAAATTAATTATATGGGTGTGGGCGGGTATCCATGGGGCGGGTATAGCTAAACCCAAACCCAACCCAACCTAGTGAATAGTTAATGGGTTTAAACCCGAACCCGGCCCAAAACCCGTCAACACGGGTTTTACCCACGTTGACCGAGTTGGGTCGGGTAGGGTACCAGTGGGTTCAGGTTTTGTTGACATCCCTACAATCAAGTTCTTTAACAGTTCGCGAACTAGGCTCCAACTCAGCACACACATCACCACCAAATAATTCGATAGTAACACATCATAATTTAAATTTATTTAATAATTAGGGTTAATATATTTGTATGGTCTGAACTTTGACCAAAATAAACATCCTGGTCAATCTTTTCGATCTATAACATCCTGGCCCAAACTATACATCAAAATAACTAAATTAGCCAAACCCGACGTTTGACCGTTAACTTGGACAGTCAAACGCGTTAACTAACGGTCAACGCGCCATGTCACTGGCAACTCAGCAAATTTCAATTTTTTTTTAATTTCCACCTATTATCATTTTTATTTTTTCTTTTAAAAAAAATGGAAAAATGCTTTTAATTTTCGGTTCTGCCTCAGAATCGCTCCGTCGTCTCCACCGGCGACCGATCGGAGGAACCGAAAATTAATAGCATTTTTCTATTTTGTTTTTCAAATTGAAAAAAAAGAAAATGATAAAGGTGGAAATAAAAAAAATTGAAATTTGCTGAGTTGGCAGTGACATGGCGCGTTGACCGTTACGGTCAAACGTCGGGTTTGGCCAATTTAGTTATTTTGATGTATAGTTTAGGCCAGGATGTTATAGATCGAAAAGATTGGCCAGGATGTTTATTTTGGTCAAAGTTCAGACCATACAAATATATTAACCATAATAATTACATGTCATAAATTAATCAAAAAAGTTTATTTTTTGTCCTTCCCCACCTCACTTTTCCCTTCTCTCTCCTCGTTGGCGGTGATAAGGGATAAAAAAAATAAGAAAAAAATTCCCGCAAAAAATTCCATATCTCCTCATGGAATTCCCCTCTTCCCCCAAAAATATCCCACCCTTCTCCAATTTTTCCATTATCGCCGCCACCACCACCATTTTGAATCCTTCTACGTCCACCAGCTCCACGGAATCGAGCGGCTACAAGAAGATCCCGAATATAAACTATTGCCATTGAGGCTTCCGCAAGAATTTAGTTGCCCCCCATGGATCCTCCATCCACCCCGGTGGTGTTTGTATCTCCCTCCTACAAGGCAAAAGCTCCCACACTCTTTCGGCCGCTGCTTGGAATCGTCGTCGTGCCATAGCTACCATCAGATACAGATTCAATATCGTCGGCGCCTCCTTCCCGTCCTTTGCTGCTTGGCATCATCATCGTTTGGCAGCGCTACTTCAGCTCCAGATCTGTAAATCCCCCCAAAAAAATACACGTGTGATTCGGGTCTAATTGTACACATTTTGCCCCTCATTTCTTGATGGTTTGACTTTGCATTGCATCATTCCTCGACATATTTCACGCTAGGTTGTGCTTGTTTTGATACATTTCAGGTCCTAACACATGTGGAAGGGTCAAGGACGAGTTTGGGACGATTGGAGGCCAAAAAGCGCAAAAACCGAAGAAAAGTCCAAAGTCCGTGACAATTGCCTCGTAACAGTCAAGCGCAGGTGTCCAGGAAGCAGCTACAATTCACGGCCTCTATGGCCGTGAACTAGAACCACAAACCATGAACAGCGAGGCGTCCTGCGAGGTGGGAGGAAACCCATCTACCATCGGTTTGTTTGCTTTCCGCTCCAATAAGAAGACCATTGGAGAGATTTTGGTGGTGTTTTGCCCTCTCCTTGCTCTTTCGGATCTCACTCGCCCTTCGCTCCCGAACACCAACATTCACCACTATCCGGTAACATCGTTCTACCTCCTTCTTTTACGCCATTGAGGGCAATGTGGAGCTTAAGTGTGGGCGGTAGTCCATTATGCATGTGTGTGTGAATGTTTGGTGTGATTTTGAATGATTGGAGCCTAGTTGTATGCCCAAATTTTTAAAATTTGAGGGTTCCAGGCATAGCAACTTCTACATTTGCATGATCGTAGTGGCACTTATGTTGTTTTGTATTGAATCTCGTGGTTATTAGCATTGTCTATGGATGATTTGCTTGTTATTATGTGCAACCTATGATGATGATTGAAACATATATTAGGTTTGTGCATAGGTTCATTTCTCATGTGTTTGTGAACCGATAGATGTTTTGAATCGATTACTTGCTTTTCACAGTTGTCTATGCATTGGATTTAGGGAATTAGAACGAATGATTGAGCACCTAGGTAGCCATGTGAGACTTGTGTCGTTCGTTTCTTTCTTGTGCAATAGATCCCCCTTTACATGATGTATAGCATTCACGTTGTTGCT